TGGTGTATGCTCTGATAGTAGCAGGGTCCAAGAAGCAGCCTCCGCGGGCTCCGCAGCCCTGAGCCAGGGCGGTTCCGGGACGGTTCCGGGAGCCGGAACTCGGCCGCTCTGTGCTCGGTGTAAGCTCCTATAAGTGTAAGCTCCAAGAAGCAGTCCCCGCGGGCTCAGTTCCGGGAGCTGGAATTCGGCTTCTTGGTGTTTCGTGTTTGCTCTGATATTAGCAGGGTCCAAGAAGCAGCCTCCGCAGGCTCCGCAGCCTGGAGCCAGGGCGGTTCCGGGACGGTTCCGGGAGCCGGGACTCGGCCGCCCCGCGCTCCGTGTTCACTCCGATAAGATCAGATTTTAAGAAGCCCCCAGGCGCTGAACCCTAGCAATCTGTCTGCAAGCCGCAGGCGAATTGCAGCCTGAAATTACCTGTTCTATGGCTGAATGAGCTGCGGTCAGTCAAAAACAGGTGTGGTGACGTCAGTTTACCAACATGGTGGCTGCTGGCCTCCTCTGTGGTCTGACCGGTGTGGAGAACCGAGATGGACCGCTTCCTTCCCCGTCTCGAACCCAGAATTCAGCCCTCAGTGCGGTGCTTGCGCGTCTGGCAGAAACTGCAGCGCTGTAACCCTGCGTCTCTATCCCAGCGCGCCTTGCAGACTCTAGCCGCGGGGCGATTTGCTGAATAAGCAGTGTTACCCTCCGTGCGACAAACCTCTCGCGTTTGAGTCCCCGTAGCCGATCCTCATGCGATGGAAATCCTTCCTCCAGGTTCCGGCGCACCCCACTATTGCTGGAAATTCCTAACAAGATATCCTTTAGCCGTCCTGACTTGTCATACTCCCACACAGTGAAGCAGCACACTGGGGTAATGCACTCCCCTTGCCGCCATCTTCCCTCCTCCCACTTTGGTTTTTTCTTGTCACAAAGATCTTCAAAAAGTTTCTTGTAGCCAGGCATGGTGGTGCATGCCAATAATCCCAGCGGCTCCAGAGCCTGAGGCAGGAGGAACATGAGTTTAAAGCCAGCCTCAGCAAAAGTTAGGTGCTAAGCAACTCAGTGAGATCCTATTTCTAAATAAAATACTAAATAAAGCTATTGATGCGGCTCACTGGTCGAGTGGCCCTGATTTCAATCCCCGGCACTCCTCCCCCCAAAAAAAGTTTCTTGTAGTACTGGTAATTGACAATAATTAATATTGTCATTTATTTGTTTGGCATCTGCTTTCTTCCAGGTATTACCCTAGATCTTGTATGGTATAAGGAAACATTAGAAATGTGTCTATGCAACTTGCTTTGTTGCACAGAAAAAAATGAAATATGAGCTATGTATGGAACTATGCAACTTCTAGGTTCTGAAATGGAACCATAAGTATAACAGCATGGAAGGCCAACTTAAAAATCTTTTTCCAGCCCATGATTGATGTCATTATAGAAACCTTCTGTATAATTCTTTCAAGTGCCTTAATATGTAAATTCAGAAAAAATATGCTATATAATGTCTTTCAAAAGATGGGAGCTTATCAGTGCCTTTTTTGTTTATTAAAATCTTTGTTGAGGTATCATTGACATGTCATAAACTTTATTTAAAGTGTACAGTTTGATAATTTTTGATATTTATATATACTTGCAAAACTATTGCCACAATCAAGATATTGAGTGCATATATAATCTCCAAAGTTTCTTTAGACCCCTGTGTAATCCCTCCCTCCTGCCCATTCTCATTGTCTTCTGCCATCCCCAGGGATCTTCTTCTGGTCACTATATATAGCTTGTATTTTCTAGGGTTTATGTAAATGGAATCACACAGTATATATTCTTTTTTGTCTGGTTTCTTTTATTCAACTTAATGATTTGTGATCATCCATTTTGTGTATCAGTAGTTTGCTCCGTTTTATTGCTGAGAAACATTATAAAGTATTTTAGTCTCTACAAACATTTATGCCGAGGATGGTAGCACACACCGACAATCACAGTGACTTAGGAGAATTGAAAGTTGGAGGCCAGTATGGACAACTTTCTTTCTTCCTTGTCTCAAAATTAGAAAATTAAGGGGCTGGGGTTTTAGCTCAGTGGTAGAATTCTTGCCTGGCATGTGTGAGGTGCTGGGTTCGATTCTCAACACCACGTATAAATAAATGAATAAAATAAACATACATCAACATCTAAAAAAATTTTTTTAAAAAGAAAAAAAAAAGAAAGATAACAAGGCTGGTAGTGTGGCTTAGGTGGTTGTGCCCCTAGGTTCAAACCCAGTACCAGAAAAAAAAAAAAATAAAGAAACACCTCTGTCTACAAACATATTGACCCCAATATTTCAAATGTTGACCCCAATATTTTATATCTTTAAAAATCCTTTTAAAATACATTTTTGCTTTTTAAATCTTTAATCCTTAGGAAATAATGCCCATGTGAAAGTAACCATCTTTTTTGTTTTATTTGTTGTTTTGTTTTTGTCATTGTTAAATTCTAGTAAAATTAAACCTAACTTTGATTTTAAATTTTCATGGTGCTTGTTTCCTTATTTTCAATTATGAACCAATTTCTTCAGCCTTAGTATTACCAGCGGTTTGTCACGTCACTCTGAAGTCCATGGTAAAACTTCTGCTCTCTAACTTTCAGACTTGGGGAATCTAACTTAGTTCAGAAATAACTCTCTATATAACCTATTTGTATGTAAGGAAGTTTTGTGGGGAGAGCCTAGAAAAACTAAAAGGTTCTTCTCATCCTGTTATTCAGTAGTTTGGTGGTTGTTTTTATTATCAGAATAGCCTTCTATGCCCAACACATCAGCTGTCTCAGAAATGCCCCCTCCAAATCTGGCCATCTTACTGAAGTACCTTGTGAGAATCAAAATTAAAGAGCAAGCCACAGACAGTAAATATCTCAGGCAATGGCTCTATCACCTTATTTAAATTCAGGCCACCTCCCTTGTTCTCATAGTACTTGCTTCCTAATCTCTTAGTTTAATGATATAAATTGGGCTTTCCTTTTTGCCTTGCCTGTTGGATTTCCTTTTTTTTTTTTGGCAGTACTGGGGATTGAACCCAAGATGTGCTCTACCAGCCCTTTCTTTATTTTATCTGGAGACAGGGTCCTCACAAAATTGCTGAGATTGGCCTCAAACTTGCAATCCTCCTACCTCAACCTCCTGAGTCTCTGGGATTATGTGTGCACAATACCATGCCTGGCTGCCTGTTGAATTTTGACTCTGTTTACTCCCTGATTTGCTATCCCTCACTGTCTTAGGTAAAAATCTACATCTACAGCTTTAATTTTGTGCATCCAAACCAGACTTTGTATCTCCCGTCTTTTTTTTTGTCCCCACTAGGAGTCAGAAGGATCAAGGATGTTATCTCTTGATGGGCCTTGAGGCAGAGTGATCTGAATTATAACAAACTACTTAGCTAAAATAGAAAATGAAATAACTTGCCTCTTTAGCTTTCTGATCTCAGGATGTCCCATGCCCATTTTCTGGTATATTACTAATTACTAGCAATCCTGAATTACCATGCTGCCCTCAGGACTTTCAGGCACTATCCATGTTGTTATCCTTCCCTGTTTTCCCTGAACAACTTTTTGGGACAGATCATTCCTCAGGCCCTGCTGGAACATCTTTTTTTTAGACCTAGATAAATGAAAGGATATCAGGTAGTTTTTATGAATCCATCCAGGTCTTCTATATGGCTATTTCTAAAATTGCTTTTCCCTGGTTTAAAAAATTATGCTCTCTAAAATTATTAGATGATTTATGTACTGTAAAATTACAGATCATGTAGTGAAGGACTTGGTAGACCACTGTATTGATATGACTTGCTCTTTTTTGAACTCTTCAAAGTACTTATCTGATTCTTTTCACATGTCCTACCTCCCAGTATTCTGGCAACCTAATCATTTAATTCAGGCACCAGTGAAATAGTTAATGTTGGAATATAGTTATATACTGATATTTTTATTTTTTCTGAAAATCTTGACAAGTATTTCACTTTTTACTTTTCCTCAGCATTAACTATATTACCCTCTAAAAGCAATATTTCTGATGGGTTTTTGAGTAGAATTGATGAAATCTGACAATATTTCCCACATGCTTAGATTGTAATAAGTGGTTTCCTATCGCTCATCTACAACCATCTCAACTTATTTCACTAGCCATGGGAAGTCTTATCTTTTTCTTCTATGTGTACTAAAATGTTTATATGCCTTCTCAATTTTCGTAAGAGAGATTTTTTATGAACATCACTTTAAAAATTGTAACATTTCTATAATGATGCCAAAAGAATAGATTATGTTAAGCTTTGGTTCTCTTTGCTTTTTTAAAAAACATTTTTTGGTGCATTATAATTATATATAATAGTGGGATTCATGCTTACATGTGCATAACATGCACACAATGTAACAATTTACTTTGGTCTTTTTCATTCCCCAGTATCTTCCCTTCCCTCCCTTTTTATTTTTCTTTACCTTTTTAAAACCTAAGTATTCTCTTGCTGATCTAAAGTTTAAATTTAATCTAACCTCCTTCAGCTGCTTTAATTTTTTGTATTTGAAAAAGTCTTCCTATCCTGAATCATGCTTCTTGGTCTTTCTGTGATTGACATAGAGTGGCCTCCTTGCAAGACAGAAGATTTTGAGGAGATTTTAAATAAAGAAAGAGAGTGTGTATGATTAATATAAATGTGATAAAGATAATTAATATGAACTAAATGGGATTTTAGTTTAAGGGACTTCAGGGAAAGTTTTTGAAGGTATAACAACATGTTACAAGCAGTGATTTGTGTTAGGACTGGAGTTTCGTAAATAGACATTGTACAACATTTATTAGTATTAGGTAATTATGTTATTTTTCTTAATCTTAGGATCTTGGGATACCCTGACTTTTTTTTTTTCTAAACTCATTCTTTGAGTAACAATTTGGACATTAATAGTATGATAGACTTATCATTGCCTACTTTCCAATTACCATGACCTAATCTCTAATGTGAAAGTTTATGTTTTCTTGTTATTTTTCCTTTTTAGATCCATTTTTCCTATACACCCTTCCTTCAGAATCATTGCCTTGGCAGAGCCCCCTGTTATTGGAAGCACAACACAGCAGTGGCTGGGACCAGAATTCTTGACCATGTTCTTTTTCCATTACATGAAACCCCTTGTCAAAAGTGAAGAAATACAAGTGATTAAGGAAATGGTAAGAGTAAGGCCAGTGATAGCCTAATGCCTATAGCTGTTCTCTTTCTAATGTACCCTAATACATGCTGGGGCAGAATGGGGCATTTTGTCTTTTCCTCCCCATTTATTTCCAAATATTTTCATATAATAGTATAAGTCAATGGTTCTTAACCTCTTAACATTTTTCAGAATTATTTGAAGGGTTCGATAAAACACAGATTTTTGAGCTCCATCTCTTGTTTTTTGAGTCAGTAGATTTGAATTGGTATGTGACAATTTGTATTTCTGACTAGTTTTCAGGTGATAGCTGATGCTACTGGTTTGAGGACCACACTTCTGAGAACCACAGGTGGAGGCCACCTTTCCCCTATCTTATGCAGAGTTTTGCAATTCCTTTCTGATTATATTCAGTCAGAAGTGACTATTTTAACTTCCTACTGAGAAAAGGCCAGATATATAGTTAGTTCCTTAGATTTTAGAGAAAGTACTAAGTAGTCCTGGTTCCCTCAGGACTATAATCTTATACTTACCTGCCTGGTCAATTGGTAGCTTCTGATATGTGGGTGATCCATTGTTGAAATGTTTGCCCTAACCAAGCATTGTGTTTACCACTTTGTAGTTCTAGAACTGTGCTATTCAATGTGATAGCATTAGCCACACTAAACAAAAAATTTTAAAGTCAGTTTCTTAGTCACCTTTCAAGTACTCAGTAGCTATGTGGGATGTGTTGACTACTGTATTAGCACAAATAAAGAAAATTTCCATCATCATAGAAACTTCTATTGGTGAGTGCTGTTTTAGATCATTAAACATGAACATTTTACATAAATGGATTCATTTCCTTTGAAATACCAGAATGAAATGGTTAATTTTAGGTATTGTGAACATGGTTGTGTACAAGGCTTTAGGGTTCAGCAACTTAACTCTTAAATGTCAAATCTACTACATATTAGCTTCTAGATCTTGGATAAATTAGTCACAGTTTCCTCACCTGAAAATGGGGATAATACTACATCTTACACCATAGGATTGATTTAAAGAATAAATAAGGTAAAGTATGTAAGGAATAGAATTAAAATTCTAAAAATTTCCATTTACTTAAGTGACCCAAAACACCCTGAGCAGTGTACTTTCAAAATAGTCATATTATGCCAATCATCACTGTAACATCATTTCTATTCCTTTTAAATTAAAAATTGAAAGTTGTTGATTAAATTCTTATAGTTTAAGATATTTAGTTACATTAAGGTTTATAATAGTTAAAAGCAATCAATGTCTTTTATTTGAGCAGCTGCTCTCCTGAATTGATCATGGCCCTCAAGTATGAGGATTAAAATTTTTTGAGAAAAAAGGATACCTTGAGCATTCTTTATACAATAGTATCTTATGTTACTTAGTAGACATATAGACACACACATATAAAGCAATTTGGTTTTAGTAATGAAAATGCCTAAATTAGAGCTTTCACAATGAAACTAACAAAACCAGAAATGAAAACATTTAATGGTTACACTATATGTCAGTTTTTAATTGCATTAATTGTTTTGTTTTATGCTGGTGATTAAATTGTATATGGAGAAGAGTAGCTTCACACTGACTCATGAACTATGTATGTAACTAATAATCATGTACTTTCTATAAATGTAATTCTAATATTATTTGCTAAGTAGTCATCATTTCTGGCCAATTGAACAGATAACCTAATTATTTTTTCTGATTTTCCTCAATTCTCTCATAAAATAGGTCCCAAATATTCCTCAGGAAGCCTTGAATAAATTGTTATCATTTACACACAAACTCAGAGAGACCCGGGATCCAACGGTAAGTCTGGGCTTTGCCAAAGGATTTTCTCTTGTTGACATGCTGTTGTTTTAAAATCTGTTGTTAAATTGGCAGTTTTAGCCTTTATCTTTGGTTTCTCCTGTACATATGTTTAACTATGATTTCAGTGATTTTAACATTTTTTTCCAGATCTTTGTGGCTCATGTAGAGGATGTAATTTTTTTACTTTATGGGAATATTTGGGGCTCTTGGGGTTCTACTTTGTTCCCTTCATCTCTTTCACTGAGCATCAGCATCTATTCTTATAGCTGTGTCCTGTTTCTAACCACACCCAACCCCTCTGTTTGTATTTCTATCCCAGGATGGCATGTTGGAAACATAAAGTACTATCACTTTCTAACTCTGTAACTCTGTGTTCTCATCTGTAAAATGGCAAAATTTCCATTTATCTCATAAGAAAGTTGCAGTGATTAAACATTAAAATTTATGTAAAGAATCTCCTCTTTAGTAACTGCCTAAAAAATGTCAGTTTCTTTACTTTTCAACTAGATAGCTTTGAGATTACTATAAATTATCTAGTACAACTAAGCTATCTTTCCCCTTGAAATTGTGTTCCCAATTTAATTTCCTTTAATAATCTACCAAATTACCCAAGTTAGAAAGCTTGACATTTTTAATTCATTGCATTTCTTATGTCTTCTTTTAATAGGAAAGTAAATCTCACCAATTTAGCATCTTTAAATGTCATATCTCTTCTTTGATCTAGTGTCAATAATTGTTCTCATATCAGATTTCACAGTCTTTCTCCTGGGATATTGGTATTTTCTCTCTACTGCTCTCTTTACCAACAATTCATTCATCAAGTGGTTGTCTGTTATTTTCCTATAGCTGTTATAACAAATTATCATAAGTTGTTGGTTTAAGAGCATAGAAATTTGTCTGGTGGACAACAAAATTTATAAATCAGTGTCATCCAAAATCAAAGCATCAACAGAGCTGTACCCTGGGAAGCTCCAGGGGAGAATATCTTCCTTGCTTGTTCTGGGTTTTGGTGGCTTCCAGCATCCCTTGACTTGTGACCTCATCATGTCAGTTCTGCCTCCATCTTTTTGTCACCTTGTCTGTGTATTTGTGCCAAATTTCCCTCTGTTTCCCTCTTACATAAGATTTCATTTAGGGCTCACCCAAATAATTATCTCCTTATTTCAAAATCCTATCCTATCTGCAAAGAAAACTGTCATAAAAAATGACGTTCACATATTCCAGAGATTATGATATGGATACCTTTGTGTGGAAGGGCTTAGGGTTGGGGACCCTGGACCATTTTCTAGATGTCACATGTTTCCTGTTAATTAACATCTAGGGCCTCATCTCCAACTTCTTTCCCCCCTACTCATTCTTCAGCTAGCTGTATTGATCTCTTTGCTATTCCATGAACACAGTATACCTGCCTCAAAGCCTTTGCTACTTGGCATTTCCTCTGCCCATGTGTCTCTTTCCCAGATGGCTGCACATTTACTCCTTCACACCTTTCAAATTCTCTCAGGTGTTACTTTTTAAATGTCATATTCTCTCAGGTGTCATTTTTAAAATAAAGCTTTCTTAAATTTCTTCTCTATTTTATTCCTATCTCTCTTTCTACCTTAAGGTTTTTCAGAGGACTTATATGACCTTTGGACACAATAGACATGTTTTAGTCACTTATTTTTTGTTCTCTGTTTTCCCTCACTTGGATTTTTATCCCCAGCAGCATTTGCTTTTGTTTGTTTTGTTCCCTGTGGTATTTCCAGAATCTTGAACTTCGCCTGCAACACAGTAGGTATTCAACAGGTATCTGTTACATAAATGAATGAATGAGTCTTCTTTATTGTCCTTGGAATGAACTTTCTCAATCCATTTATGGAGTTCTTCCCTTTCTTTAAAAGTGTTAAGAGATTCATTCTCTTTGCCCACAGATTAAAGACAACCCCTTTTTCCCAGTCTCATTTCCTACAATCTCTTTTGAAGCTCCCTCAGCTCTGTTCACACATGGCTTCTTCCTGTTGTTTTTTTTTGTTTGTTTGTTTGTTTGTTTGTTTTGACTCTACCACTAGTCTGCTCTGTATTATGTCTGAAATATGCTTTATTCCCATCCACTTGTCCCTCAGATTCCTTATTCTCTCAGGTCTCTCATCCTCCTTAGGCAGAAGTAACCTCTATCTCTCATCTGCTTTCATGACACTTGGTGTATACTTCTGATATTGAGACATTGCCATTGTATTAAACTTTATTTTTATATCCCCAATTAATATTTGAACTTTTTGAGTCTGAGTCTTGTTCATTCTTTTATTCTTATTTCCCAGGCTGGTTGGTACCTGGCACATAGTAGACACTTAAATCTTTGATGAATGAATGAATCAATGAATTTGTTAAGTAATTACTTGTTAGCTGTACACCCTTACATTTTTCTCTTGACTTGTGATCTCATCTGTTAAGTTTTAGGAAAGAAATAATTCTTTAGGAGAAAGAAAGGTTATTTTAATAAGTTCTGATAAGATCTTTTATATTTTTAAGCTGGGTACTAATAATCATGTTAATAATATAAAACCCTTTTTGGTGTGTTTTTAAATTGCATAATCATGGTAACTAATGCTTCTCATTCTCATCCTATTTTCTACAGATAAAACTGTAGTTAGAAATTTGTTATTATAAATGTTAAATACATTAGGAATTTTAAATTAAAGTATACTCTCAATTTTTAATCAAAAATATGACAACAGAAATTACTAGTCTCTCTATTCAACACTTAAATGGCTCAACAGATAGCTTAGTTCTGATTTTTTTCAACACTGTATATTATTGCAAAACATTTTGGTTCCATCAACTGAAGGAGTTATTATTCTTCAAATTCATGAGAAATCCTCACTGAACACTAGAATTAAATGTGAAGTCTGAACTCAGTGTTATGCTTAGAATGAGATTAAAATGTTGTATCCTAGAAAGTTACCTGAGGGTTTAATAAGACTCTTGTCATCAGAAGCCTCTGTTGGGAGTTTAAACTTTTTTCTTGATTAAAATAGGAAAATTTCATCGTGCTAGATATTAAGGATAGGGATTTCTAAGTTATTTCTAGCCTCTGATACTTTCAGCCATACTGGCTGAATCTTATCCTTAGTTCCTCTCAGTTGGAAAGTCCTTTGAGATACTTGTTGCATCCTTTCTCTTCATGTTTGCTGCCATAATTGGACTATAGGATTTTGTCTTTTCATAGGCAGATTAATGAAGTAACTTTCTGTTTCCTGATTGTAGTCTCTCTGTCCTTCAACTACTTTACATATGGCTGCTGATTTAAGTCGGGAATTAAGCCAGATAATTTGATTCTAAAATCAGGGTACTCCTTTGCACAAAGTTCCCTTTCGTTTAGGAATAAGGTCAAACTCCTCAGAGTGTCACCCACAGGTCTTTGATATTTGAGAATAAGCCTTTCAGCAGGGCTCTATATTAGAGCTGTGCTGGTGTCCTCACAGCTTACATGAATTTGTGTTCCATTTGCTTTCATGCCTTTGTTGTAGCAGTTCTCCAGCCTAATGGAACATTTTAAGCCACTGTAGCGGTTGTCAACTGTTCCACTTATTTTAGCATTAAATTACATGCTATTTTGAATTGAAATTTATGGTTTCTTATCTTTAAATATTGTCTCTATGTCTAGAATGCAAATTTATTGAAAACAAGGATGCACCAAATGTTTGCTTGTGAATGAGTTCTTTGAAATTTAGAACATGTTGTTTAATAAAGGATATGTACTAATAACAGTAGATCAATATCTTATGAAGCTGAAGTTCATGAGGAAGGAAATAGTCAATAAATTTTTCTTCTTTGGGACTTACAGAGATGACCTTAGGTGAAATGTTTGAACAAGAAAATGAATGTGAAATGTGTCTTTGGCTTTCTCCCCTTATCTATTTTGAACCCTTTGTTAATTTTATAGAATCTCCTTTATTAGGCACTTTGAGCCATGTTAGTGCTCCTGTCACCTACTACATTTCACTCTTATCTTTGGTGTGCCCTCCCAAAGGTCCAGTTGCTTCAAAAATCCTTCTCTGGTTTTCAGTGGAAACCACTGTTTTCCTAACATTGCCGATCTGAGTTGAGAATTAGGCCATTAACAATCTGGCTCATTAAAATTATGGTAATGTCTCATCCCTTTCATCTATTTGATTTTTTTTCATTGTGAAGAAGGTAACTATTTTAATGATCTCTGCCACCTGTTGAGCACTCATATTTTTCAGACCTGTACTAAGTGCTTCAAAATCTTTTTCTAATGTAATTCTCAAAACAACCTTAAAGGTAAGTGTATTATCATTGCCATTTCAAAAATGAGGAAACTGAGGCTTGGAAAGTTTAAATAATTTTGTGAAGTTCATACAGTTAATGAAGATTCTGACTTATCAAACTCAAAGCCTATAAACTTTATCATGATATTATGGTATCTGCCAAGAGAATTTCAAGTTCAAGTCAGCAAATGTTTATTGAGCACTTACCATGTTCTAGGTTCAACAGGAACAACTCTGTGAGTGGAATCTGAGAAAGTAAGAAAAGAAAAAGAAATTATTCTGACAGTAGAGGGGAAGGATTTCAAACATCAAGCTGCCACACAAGATAACAAACTGATTTACACATCTATGGTCAGCACCCTAAAATATTCCACAACTCCTTTTCTCTGGTTCAGAAACAAGAGATTTCCTTAAAGTTCTAGGAATTTTTAGAATACCTTAACAAATTAGGGGAAAAAAAGAGAAACAAATAGTCATTTGTACATAGGAATTATTTTTAAGACAGGTATGACCTATGTTGTATAATACCCTTCACCTATTCACTCTCCTCCACCCCAATATGTGAATATAGTACTTAGCACAATTAAAATAACTTGAATTGAATTGATACTTTTTATATTGAAAAAAATTGCCTTTACAGATATTTAAAATGCAAGTTGGTTTGTTTATTTTTATTTCTAATTCATTAACAGTGCATATTTAATTTAAAGTTGGCCTTATCCTTCAGGAGTAATGAATTCTGCTGTGATACCCATTTAAAGGTTATTTAATAAGTTGAAGCAGGTCTCTTAACAGACTTTCCTTACCTTTTTGATAGGCACAGTCCTTGGCAGCATCAGTTTCTACTCGACAATTGTTGCGGATTTCTCGTCGGCTGTCACAGTATCCTAATGAAAATCTTCACAATGCTATTACAAAAGCTTGTCTTTCCAGGTAACCATACTCTTCTTTCACACTGACTTCAAGTCTTTGGATCTTTGCTAAAACACAACATAAATTTAATTGATAGTCTACATTCACAGGTTCATAAAAAGTATTGGTCTGAATATATGAATATTTCAGCCTAGTCATCAGTCATTAGAATTTACTTAGTATAATATATTATGTTATTTGGGCATGAAAACAATTACAAGGCGGGGGGTGTAGCTCAATGGCAGAGTATAAGCTTAGCAGGTATGAAGCCCTGGTTTTAGTTCCTAGCACCAAAAAATAAAATAAAATAAAATAATAATAATAATACAAAATTTTAAACAATTTTTTTATATTTGTTTTTTAGTAGTAGTTGAACAAAATACCTTTATTTTAATGTGGTGCTGAGGATCAAACCCAGGGCCTTACACATGCTAGGTGAGTGTTCCACCAGTGAACCACAACCCCAGCCCCAAATTTTAAACAATTTTAAGAAGTATTTTACATATGAGAAAACTGAGTCACTTGCTCAGATCACGGAGTAGAGGTCTGAGACTTGAATGCTGGTTCATAGGTCTTCAGAGCTAGGGGTTTTGTGCATTTTACTTATCACCTTGCAAATTTGCCTTGGAATTTTCTATGCTTGTTAGTACTGCCCTCTTCTCTAATTTTAACAAAACTAAGATGTTTTAAGTCTACACTAATAGTTTTCATACCAATGGGGAATGATTATAAAACATTGACTTATAGAATTTTCTTACAGAATCACCTTTTCATGAAACCATTTTAAAAGAGTAATAAAAAAAGATTAAGAACAATCCCAGTTAACATAAAATATCTTCTTGAATACAAATCTTATTCTTTTAAGTTGATATTAGGTCTTGTTTAATTTTTTTCCTTTTTTATGTTAACTCACATAAAATATTTTTGAAATATTAAAAAATGGTTTATTAGATACTATATTATTTACCAAATATATTTTCACAGTAAGTCCAATACTAGGTATGATCAGGAAGCATCTTTTTTTATACCTACAATATGTTTGAGTCATCCTGTAAGCAGATTGGTTTGTGCTCACTGTCTCAGTAGGTACATCATGAAAATGTTAATTTATGCCACTTATATCCCTGTATTAAAGGGCTCAAATTCATTATTAGGGTCTCTCAACAGCTGCCCACACTGACAAGATGAGCTGGGTTCAAAATAGCTAGCTGCAACATTAAGCTAAGAAAATGGCAAGAAATCACACAACACAGAAGTAGATTTCATGTCGAGGGTAGGATGTCTCTGCAACCTTAGGGTCAGCATCCACCCTGAGGAGCACTGGAAAGAGAGCGTGTACCAGGAATCTATTTTTATGGGTGGGCGACCCACAAAGGAGATCCAATGGAATGTTTTTCACCAAATAAGGCAGGGGATAATGTTTCAAAGGTGAAGTCTTGCTTTGTGATGTCTTGTGGTCAGCAGATTGATTGACATCTTGGCAAATCACACCCATCTCAGGTGCTGTGTGGGATCATAGGCAGAACAGAGGAAAGGCACACTTACAGCCCAATCAGTGCACAGCGCCAGACCTGTGATAGTTCCACCATTTGACCCAGCTATCCCTCTCCTCGGTCTATACCCAAAGGACTTAAAAACAGCATACTACAGGGACACGGCCACATCAATGTTTATAGCAGCACAATTCACAATAGCTAAACTGTGGAACCAACCTAGATGCCCGTCAGTAGATGAATGGATAAAGAAAATGTGGTATATATACACAATGGAATATTACTCAGTAATAAAAGAGAATAAAATCATGACATTTGCAGGAAAATGGATGGATTTGGAGAATAGAATGCTAAGTTAGCCAATCCCCCAAAACCAAATGCCAAATGTTTTCTCTGATATAAGGAGGGTGACTCATAGTGGGGTTGGGAGGGGAAGCATGGGAAGATTAGACAAACTCTAGATAGAGCAAAGGAGAGGGAGAAGAAGAGAAGGAGTAAGGGGTGTAAGAAAAAGATGATGGAATGAGATAAACATCATTAACCTAAGTATGTATGTATATACATAAAGACATGAATGGTGTGAATATACTTTGTATACAACAATATAAAGCAGGGGATAATATTTCAAAGGTGGAGTCTTGCTTTGTGATGTCTTGTGGTCAGCAGATTGATTGACATCTTGGCAAATCACACCCATCTCAGGTGCGGTGTGGGATCACAGGCAGAACAGAAGAAAGGAGCACTTATAGCCCAATCAGCGCACAGCACCAGACCTGTTATAGCTCCAGTGCACATAGTTCACACATAAAATTAAAAAACAAAAACAAACAAACAAAAAAACAATCCCAGTAGGCCCAGAGTGTTTTTTTAGACCCTTTTCATATGTTCTAATATTTTCATCCTTCAAATTTTATTCCTGTGATTTTTATGATAGTTATGCATATTGTCCATTATTCCTTGATTAGAGGAATTAAAAAAGAATCAATCTATTTATGGCTTAGGATAATATGAAATGGTCCTTTGTAACTCTTTAATGTAATAGACAATTTTTCTTTTAGTTAAATTAAACTCCTTAATGTTGCAACTTGAATTTGTTTTTCCTGTGGCGTATCCAGCTAAACTGAGACTCTCCAGTGACTTTAGAGTGATTTTTTGAGACATAACAAAAATGACTCCTTTCCTTTAACTAGAATATGAGATTTCCAACGAAAATTTGAAAAAAGTCTTCAGTCACCTATTTTTGAGTTATAAACTGAAGAAAATATAGATAGTTTAATTACCTAAACAATATTTTGTCTTAGGTAGGATTTGTTATAAATATGAGATAATAGAAGTTGACACTGAGTACTAAGCAGTGTAAACAACTTTGAAGCTCAAGGAAAAACAGTAGTATGAATATGTTAGAATGAACTAGCCACACCTCCAAAATTCTATGACCTGTAAGATATAGGTGGGCAATCAAATCAACTTTCGGTTTCCTCTGTTTAAAAAAATACAAGAGTAAATACAGTAATGAAAACTGGTTTAGTAAATAAACAATAGTGATCAAAATTTGGAGAACTAATATCAACTATCTTAAAGCATCTGAGAGAGCTGAATATAGCTCAGTGGTAGAGCTTTGAGCCTAGCGTACACAAATCTCTGAGTTCAATTTCCAGTACTGTCAAAAATAAATAAATAAAATAAAGCATCTGAGGATGTTGATAATTGGCAAAATTTAACTTATTACTAATAGTCATACAGTCTACATAGAAAATGTGAGAAAATTTTTAATAAAGGTGAGAAAGAATTAAGGAATTGACTTTCATCAGATGTTTTATTTGGATAGATATTTGAGAAAACATTAGAAGAAGTAATTTCAGAGTGATTCCATATTTTTCCTTTTATATGAGAGAGAAAACTTCAAGGATCTTTTTTAAAACACTAATATTTTTAAAACATGTTGAATTAAAAGAGTTTAGAAGCCATTGAAAAACATAAGCAAGATAAACTGAGGTAAATAGTCTCTGTTCACTCTGCCGAATTAGAAATTGTGAAAAACTATAATAAAAAAAATAATTTTTTTCTTATTTAAACTTGAAAGGAAGAAAATATCACAATTCAGGTATAAGAAATGAAGTAAGCTTGAGGTTGCCATGGGACCTAGCAATTCTGTTCCTGGATTTTTAGCCAAGAGAAATTTTAAAATGTCCATACAAAAACTTGTACATATATGTTCCTAGCAATATTATTCGTATTGGCTGAAAAGTGGAAATACACAGTAGATTGAATTGGACATAACTTTCCTATGTTCACATATGAATATACGTTCAGTGTAACTCCATATCATGTACAACTTACAAAAATGGGAAGTTATATTCCATGTACATATGATATGTCAAAATACTTTCTATTGTCATGTAAAACTAAAAAGAACAAATTTTAAAAAAGAATATTGAGGAAAGAAATAGGTAAATATATGGGAAATTTAAATGTATTATGAAAAGTAAAGAAAATGAATACTAATAATATAGGGAAATTTTTATGGGAAATTTAAATATATTATGAAAAGTAAAGAAATAAAAATGAATACTAATAATATAGGGTAATTTTTTATGGGAAATTTAAATATATTATGAAAAATAAAGAAATAAAAATGAATATTAATAATATAGGGAAATTTTTAACAACAAGGTGAAACCAATAGTAAACAAGAGACTATAGAAACTGGAAAAAGATGAATATCTTAGTTCTATTTTCTTTTTTAAAAATATCTTTATTTTATTTGTTTATTTTTATGTGGTGCTGAGGATTGAACCCAGACCCTTGTGATGTACTAGGCGAGCACACTACTGCTGAGCCACAACCCCAGCCCTTAGTTCTATTTTTTTTTTTTAATTTTTTTTATTGGTTGTTCAAAACATTATAAAGCTCTTGACATATCATATTTCATACATTAGATTCAAGTTGGTTATGAACTCCCAATTTTACCCCAAATACAGATTGCAGAATCACATCGGTTACACATCCACATTTTTACATAATGCCCTATTAGTAACTGTTGTATTCTGCTACCTTTCCTATCCTCTACCATCCCCCCTCCCTCCCCTCCCATCTTCTCTCTCTACCCCATCCACTGTGATTCATATCTCTCCTTGTTTATTTTCCCATTCCCCTCACAACCTCTTATATGTAATTTTGTATAACAATGAGGGTCTCCCTCCATTACCATGCAATTTCCCTTTTCTCTCCCTTTCCATCCCACCTCATGTATCTGTTTAATGTTAATCTTTTCTTCCTGCTCTTCCTCCCTGCTCTGTTCTTAGTTGCTCTCATTATATCAAAGAAGACATTTGGTATTTGTTTTTTAGGGATTGGCTAGCTTCACTAAGCATAATCTGCTCTAGTGCCATCCATTTCCCTGCAAATTCTATGATTTTGTCATTTTTTAGTGCTGCGTAATACTCCATGGTGTATAAATGCCACATTTTTTTTATCCATTCATCTATTGAAGGGCATCTGGGTTGGTTCCACAGTCTAGCAATTGTG